GAGAAGTAACAATAGAAGAGTAACCAGAGTAGTAACAATAGAAAAGTAACCAGAGTAGTAACAATAGAAGTATAACCAGAGTAGTAACAATAGAAGTGTAACCAGAGTAGTACAATAGAAAAGTAACCAGAGTAGTAACAATAGAAGAGTAACCAGAGAAGTAACAATAGAAGAGTAACCAGAGTAGTAACAATAGAAAAGTAACCAGAGAAGTAACAATAGAAGAGTAACCAGAGTAGTAACAATAGAAAAGTAACCAGAGTAGTAACAATAGAAGTATAACCAGAGTAGTAACAATAGAAGTGTAACCAGAGTAGTAACAATAGAAAAGTAACCAGAGTAGTAACAATAGAAGAGTAACCAGAGAAGTAACAATAGAAGAGTAACCAGAGTAGTAACAATAGAAAAGTAACCAGAGTAGTAACAATAGAAGTATAACCAGAGTAGTAACAATAGAAGTGTAACCAGAGTAATAACAATAGAAGTGTAACCAGAGTAGTAACAATAGAAGTGTAACCAGAGTAGTAACAATAGAAAAGTAACCAGAGTAGTAACAATAGTAGTATAACCAGAGTAGTAACAATAGAAGTGTAACCAGAGTAATAACAATAGAAGTGTAACGAGAGTAGTAACAATAGAAGTGTAACCAGAGTAGTAACAATATAAGTGTAACCAGAGTAGTAACAATAGAAGTGTAACCAGACTAATAACAATAGAAGAGTAACCAGAGTAGTAACAATAGACGTGTAACCAGAGTAGTAACAATAGAAGTGGAACCAGAGTAGTAACAATAGAAGTATAACCAGAGTAGTAACAATAGAAGTGTAACCAGAGTAGTAACAATAGAAGTGTAACCAGAGTAGTAACAATATAAGTGTAACCAGAGTAGTAACAATAGAAAAGTAACCAGAGTAGTAACAATAGAAGTATAACCAGAGTAGTAACAATAGAAGTATAACCAGAGTAGTAACAATAGAAGTGTAACCAGAGTAGTAACAATAGAAGTGTAACCAGAGTAGTAACAATAGAAAAGTAACCAGAGTAGTAACAATAGAAGTGTAACCAGAGTAGTAACAATAGAAGAGTAACCAGAGTAGTAACAATAGAAGTGTAACCAGAGTAGTAACAATAGAAGTATAACCAGAGTAGTAACAATAGAAGATGTAACCAGAGTAGTAACAATAGAAGTGTAACCAGAGTAGTAACAATAGAAGAGTAACCAGAGTAGTAACAATAGAAGTATAACCAGAGTAGTAACAATAGAAGAGTAACCAGAGTAGTAACAATAGACGTGTAACCAGAGTAGTAACAATAGAAGTGTAACCAGAGTAGTAACAATAGAAGAGTAACCAGAGTAGTAACAATAGAAGTGTAACCAGAGTAGTAACAATAGAAGTGTAACCAGAGTAGTAACAATAGAAGAGTAACCAAAGTAGTAACAATAGAAGTGTAACCAGAGTAGTAACAATAGAAGAGTAACCAGAGTAGTAACAATAGAAGTGTAACCAGAGTAGTAACGATAGAAGGGTAACCAGAGTAGTAACAATAGAAGAGTAACCAAAGTAATAGCGATTGAAGATTGACAAGGAGGTGCCTCATCGCCAGTGAGCGAGGATCCAGCGTTATTCCGTGAGTGCTGGATCGTCTGAAATCCTGATCGCGTCCCGTTGGATTCTATATAAGTGCAGTAAGGTAGAAGCGGAGTGCCTCCTCCTCCCGAATTGTGACCACGGTGTTCCAAATGTAGACAAACGTCTGCCTTTGTTTTTGCATCGTATGTTGAACTTCCTTCACACCGTACGTAGCCAACCGGAGGTGCGTTGGGCTCTGTTGACATCCCGCCAATGTGCACTTGGTCCGTCAGCCCCTGGTGCGATGGATGTGTGGATCGAACCCCGAAACAGGGTATTGAACTTGTGACTTTCTGTAGGAATTACACCGTTGACCCCTTTGAAATTGGTTCGTTGAATAGTGTGCTGTTTTGCTGAACTGCCCAGACGCCAGTGATAGCATTGCCATTGGTCAAACTACGCGAAGATTTAGTGTTGTGGTGATAATGTCGTTTCAACTCCCAACACGAATACGCTTTCCAGGGCAACTAATCAGCCAGGTTGAGATTCATTCCTTTTCCCAGATTTGATTAATGAAATTAGATTCGCACAATCGAATGTGAATGTAAAATTTAGGCAATAACAGCTGTCACCAGTCAACTAAAATGAACCACTTATGTTTTGATTCCAAACCAGGTGAGACCGTACTGGCATTGGATCACAGCTCTTTGGATTGAAGTGTGCAGTCGAAAGAATGGCATGCGCTATCGAAGTAATTCTAATAATAATCGCCATAAGAATACTGGAACCATATATATTATAATAAACAACAAGGTCACAAAGCGGACTAGGGGGGGGGGGAAGGTACTTCATGAATATAGTGGAATGAAAATAACACCACACTTGGTCGGCATTACTTGCGTGATGAGGAAAACGTGGGTACTCTCACCTCTTTCAATACATCTGCCCAGGCGTGGGAGAGTGGGCCACATTATCCCATTAGAGGGCTTCTCGAGTGATGTCTCAAGCGGAGTGCCCTTCCGCCAACAGTGGCATGAGGAAGTAACTACAGGGCTTCACCTTTACCTTTTGACCTGGGCTTCATGGTGGAAAGTTCAAACTTCACTGTGCATGAGAACTCGGATTGATTCTGCCCAGGATTTGTACTGTAGGTTCTCAGTGGAACTGACTCAGTGCTCAAATATAGGCATGGCATTTAGCACTTGAGCTATTCAGCTGCATCTCATATTAATACTTTTAAGGCATGCCCCCAATCATAAATCCTTCCTGAGCAACACGGCAAGGCACACTTGGAAGCATTTCTAAATTAAAGTGTGCGTGCGTACGCTGCACATTGCTAAACATGTGTGATCATCGTGTGCGAGATGAAAACCAGCACGACACGTCAAAACGGTGTGGGATGTGTACAGGAAGCTTCATGCAAGGGGAAGCCGGGAAGGCATTTGTATTTCAGCAGACACACTCTGCATTAAACAGGTTAAATGCACACGGACACAGCATATTTATTAATCAGATAAGACAAATTGGATGGCCTGACGGCAGTGACAGCCGGGAAGGTGGTGGTCTGATAGAAATCAGTAGTCGCAGCCCTTGTTAGAGACATCCTCTATCACTCAATAGGTAAATCATTAGACTTAATTATGGTAATAACAGGCATAAAGACAGATAGTTAATAAAGGCAATAGCTTATCCATGCCATCTGCCGTACATCCTTCAAGCGCATAACAAACACTTTTTTGTTTCTTTCGTATTCGGCGATGTAATTGCCTACAAAGAACGCGGACCAGTATCATGTTCTGTTCCTGCCTTGGTTCAGAAGGAATTTAGCATGGGCATAGGCCCCACTGCAAGCGTGTCTGTAGGGAATAGCGGCTGGCTTGTGGTGTTGGCTCTGCGTTTAAAGAGGCAGAGGACAAGCGACTATTAAAATTCTGCCCAAGGTAAAACCTGAAACGCTAGCAATTATAATTAACTCAGTTTCCGTTGCACAATCGTAATAGTATGCTTGACTAAAATTCGCATATTAAATCGTTGGCAATGAATAGCAAGATTCAGGCTTTCATTTTAATAAAGTCAGGTGCAAAATGCACATCTATCTTATATTGTGACAACAAGCGCTGGAGGATTCCCACAGGAATCGCATGCATTTGTCCAACGATTCCACGCTGGCTGATTCCTGTAGGAATCGCGCGTCTTTTTGGGGCCATTCCCATGTTAGCATCTCCATTCACTTCAATGGAATTCTAACAGGGAATCGGCCCTGGAAGAGCCACGCAATAGCATGATATTCCATTGTGATTCTATTGCAAAAATGTTGCTTAGCTAAATTTAAGCTTATTTACTTGTCTCTAGCATTCCTGGCCAGAATAGAAATCCAGACCAGCCTGAATCGTCTTTGAGATGCGTTTTCCCGACGCGCAGTACTGGGAATTGGCCATATTACTGGACATCAAGGCCGGACTCGGCATGGTACTTATACCTCTGCCTCCGCACTGCTAAGTAGGATGTATTGTATCGAGGGTCACTTGGGTCAACGTTCAGATAATTACGTATTTCTTTGGATGCTGTTTATTTGCCTACAATTTTTTTTTCGTAAAATCACTGTAAATTAGTTCAAACAAAAAAGGCATCCCAAAGAAGGCCAGGGCAAATATTTGCACCGGTTTTTTTTTGTTTGCATAAAAAATGCATTTGAGACTCAGTCATTGGTTAAGAAGGATAAATATTTACGTCCGTATGAATGGAATCATTTATTCTCCTTCCAGCTGGAAGACCCAGTGATTGTTGGTTCAGTGAAATAAAATTAAAAGCATTACTTGTTGCATCTACACGTGTTTTTTGTTCAACCTTGCAGCCGCGAAACAAATGCTCTCACCACAGCGCCACTTACTTGCATCTTGCTGTTGTTGCTGGTGGTGATTATGAGAAGAATATAGATGGTGAAAGTTGGCAGAGGTGCACCCCTGCAATTGATTGCTCAGCACTACTGGCGGCAGAAGTGCACCCACGAGAGGGAGCTCCAGAGAGCAAATTGAGTGGCGGTTAGCTGGCCAAACATCTTGGAAGAGAATAATAATGATAATTATATCCACAGTAGTAGGATTGATAATAGTAATGAAAATGACAGCTTAATTTAATCTGGAGCTGCCCGGGGCTGAGCTCCGGGAGAGCTTAGGAAGGGTCCTGATGGTTTTAAGTTTTGGTGCCTCAGAAGATATTCATTGAGAGAGCAACACCTGCTGATAACATTATCGTATTTTCTACATTCATTTAACAAATTCCTTCCCCTCCTTCCTGGCCCCCCCTACCCCCCACCACTTTCTACCGCCCTCCCCAACCCTTTAACCGTCTCCCTCCCGCAACTCTCCATCTCCCCGATGTCGTCGCGACGTGGTGGTGGCGGCGGGGTCATCGCGGCGACCCCCCAAGGCTTCTCGGCCCTCTCGCTGGGCGACCAGATGTCGCTGCTGCAGAGCGCGTGGATGGAGGTGCTGCTGCTGGGCGTGGCGTTCCGCTCGCTGCCCTACGAGGACGAGCTCGTGTACGCCGAGGACTTCGTCATGGACGAGGAGCTGTCGCGGCTCGCCGGCCTCCTCGACCTCAACTCGGCCGTTCTGCAGCTCGTGCGCAAGTACAAGGCCCTCAAGCTGGAGAGGGAGGAGTTCGTGGCGCTCAAGGCCATCGCGCTCGTCAACTCCGGTAAGGGACGCGCGGCGATGCGGGGGTGCGGGTCTGTTCGTTGAAAATAACGTTTGGCCCTTTTGTGCGCGTGTGCGTATGTGTGTTGAACTTCTTTCGCACCGTACGTGGCCAACTGTGCTAATCGAAGGTGTGGGAATGGGGGGACCCTGTTATCGGTCCACTCTGCTGGATGAAGGACCGCCTGATGCCGTGCCGGTCTCCGATATTGTTGAACGCACGAGCAAGTATGAGCGGGCCTTTAGGGTCATTTGTAATGCGAGTGTGGACTTCCGGGTCAGGCCACGTGTTGAGCATTTCGTCGGTCAAACGTTCGCCGCTCAAGCCTTTGCCGCCACGCGGCAGCAGTATTACGTGGGAGGTGAAGGCGAGAGAGGAGATGTTGAGCACGCAGACTAACCATACGTGACCACACTGCCCACTGCAGGTTCGTAAATGTAGAGGGGCTGGGACTGATGTTAGCCATGGCTCGGAATTGAACTTAGCGATGCGGTTCACTGTCATTTTCTCTGACAACTGCACCACTGGCGATGTAATTCAGTGATGCAAAAGTCGAAATCAAGTCAGAAGTGGTTGAGTGTTATTTGTGCAAGGAAACTCGTGAATGCGAGTGGATGCTACTGAAATTCTGCACGAATATACTTGCTGTGCTGCCTCTTTCAGGCGGCTCACTTGCCCCGTGGGTGAGTGCGTGTCAAATGCACACAACGGCTGTGCCCACGTGGATCCACGATAACCTGCGTCTAAGTTGCAGGATCACCACTGTCACACGCCACCACACGCCACAAGAAAGAAAAGTACAAATTGTGCTCTTGCCATGAAAAAAAAATCAAGCAAATTTGATGTAATTCATCTTATTAAAATGTGTATCATTTAGTAGACACATCGATGGAGCTAGATAATGGTTACATAATTACCCCCTCTCGATGTTGGAAAATTGTGCGTGTTCTTTTTTGTTTGTTTTCCAAGCCACACTAGCCACCATGGGAAAATATTTCACCACCGGGCACCACGGTGATGAGATGTTAACTACCTCGCCCGGTATACAGGAGGTCGTGGGTTCGATCCCGACGCCTGTATATTTGGAGTTTGCATGTTCTCTCCGTGGTCGAGTGGATTTTTCTCTGGGCCCACCGGTTTTTCCCTCCACACTTAGAAACATGCGTTTCGAGTATTTGGCTGCTATAAATTTCCACATTTTAAGCCACTTCATTGAGCGATCATTCCTGGCCAGGTCACTTCTGACAACGAGCTGCACAGTTATAGCTCAGTGGGCCTTACCTGGTAAATAAACACTGTTTTTGTTTACAATGATCAAATAAACCTGACAACCCTATATGGCAGAGCGAGGCCCTGATTCAACAGTCGTTCAACAAAAAGGATGTACAGATGCACGTCGTTTATGCAAATACTAGCTTCACTGACAGCAACACAGACAAAGATCCCCCTATAGCCTTAACAGGCTGTTGGAGCAAGTGCTGTTAGCGAGTAGCACTTATGAAGGCCGGCACAGCACACAAGGGGGTGGGTGGCCAGCCCCAAGCCCGACCGCCTTTGTCTCCCCAATGGCAATATTTATACACTGCACCAGGTACTCATTTGAGGGTAAGTCGACCTCGGGGAGGTCCAGGACCGGTTCAGATAATAGACCCTGGTGTTTGCTGCGAGTGGGAATCGAACTTGGATTCGCTGGGTTTGTAGTGCAGTGCACTAAATCGCTACACTACCGTCCCCCCCTGATAGCAACATGCACACTCACATAACCTGTGCTCTCAAAGGTCTTCAGTACCTAATAATACTTGCAAATGAGCCACACTCAGACCAAGTGGTGTTCCACTTAGCCAGGTATAAAGTTTCAGTTGAATACAACGCAAATTGCTCCTTTGTTCACTGAAGTTCTTGTTTTGAAATTGCCGTTGTTGGCCTGATCTCTAAGGTATATTTCTAAAGCTTTCCCTGATATTCTTGGTCCTGGTAGCCAGCTAGTGGCCTCTCCTGAAATTACATGCCCATGTTTTAAACTGTACGGAGATATTGAACATTGCACGAGTTGGCGACATCTGAGTTTCTTCAAATAGCAGGCAACCTGCACGCATGTCTGCGCACACACGACAGCAGCCACCATTCATCAGTAAGCGGTGTTGACATCACCATGGTGCTTAGGCCAGGCTAGTTTCACTTTTTAAGCGACATGAGGTGACAAAGGTTCGCTGGCACTATCCTACGGAACCAAATGTGTGTTTTTTTTTTTTCGCGGACAGATCAGGTCGCATTGCAGTTTCCACCACCACCTGCTCTCCCCCACTGTGCCAGTTTTCTCAATGTGAGCTCACCTGACGCTCTGGTCGTCGTTATTGTGTGAGCCTCATTTCCCCTGCCTCCTTGCTGCTAACAGCAGCCTGGGAAACATCATTCATGAGCCTTCCTCCACAGAGGTCGATCCTGACACCACTGGTGGTTGCAGCTGTTTCCAAGTCCACGCAGCTCAACTTCCCCCCTTGTGCCACAACTGACCGTCTCATCGCGAGCTCAAGCCCATGCAATTTTTTTGCCCCCTCTGTCCAGTAAAACAAAGGCTGTCTGGTGGACGCGAAACATTTATTTGAACAAACAAAATGCGTTGACTCAATCGGTGACTGTCATCGTCTTCTGCATAAGGGATATAAATAAGTAATTATGCCCGTAATTGCCCGTACACCCATAGGCAGTGGCTATTCAATTGGCAGTCATTTTACTTTGTGTTGAAACATTTAATTTCACAGAGTAGAGGATCATTTAATAAAATAGAGGCTTCTAGTCACCCGTCGTATATGCACAGACACACAGGCACACGCCGACTGCAAAGTGCTCGCAAATAGGACGTGGTCCAAAATATAATCCACGCAATCAGCGATGTCTGGCTGCACTAATGGAGTGCCGGTGTCTACCCACTGCTACTCTGAAATGTTCCATTCCCCCACTCTAGCCCATAATATGCAGTGATGCCAACCCTTACAGTCTTACTTGAATGATAATGGGCATTGCCTTTGACACATTGTGAATGCCCCAAGCCAAAGTGATTTTTTTGTTTATTCTTTTGGCTCATACGAGCACTGAGGCGGTGCTCATCTCCAAATTCACAGCCCCTGAGCCAGTTAGGTGGAAATTCCACGTTCTTATGGAGTGGGTGAGCTGATCCCATTGGACGAACCACCGGTGACTTACCCACAAAGTGTTACCTACTTTATTGACCCCCTTCCCACCGGAGGGTTGATGGGCTGAGACAAGCCCCAACCAGGATTTGAACCCACAACCGCTCGCTCGGCCAGAGCCACCTGACTGTATAAAAAGTTGAACTAATGTTGTCTCTTGTTACAATATCATTTGCACCTATATTACTATGAAAAGGAATAATTTGGCTTTCATGGTAACACGCTAATGCCATTAAGAAACAATGACTTTTCCCAGGGAGACCTATGCACACATAACAAGGATTGGAAATCCATTGTTATATAATTAATGTGATTTGGGTTCTTACCTGAACATTGTTTACTCTTGCCGCTAATAGGTTTAGGTTATGATTAGATTAGGAATGCATGTGTTTGAACTCAGCAGTGGAATGGGGCCTTTGCCAGGTAAGGCCCAGTAAGTGACCTGGCCACAAATGATAGCTCAACGAAGTGGCTGATTCCGTGGAATTTTTATAGCAGCCAAATTCTCTAAACGCGTGATATTTATTCTACCACGGGGAGAGAGAGACAGACACGCAAACTCCAAATATACAGGAGTCTGGGTCGTGATCGAACCCATGACCTCCTGCATACCAGGCGAGGGAGAAAACATCTTTCCACCGTTAAATGTTTAAGGGTTTCTCCTGGACCAGACCCCATCCCCCTTCAGTAACCCAATGCAAAGTGACGAGGTGACCACAGTGATGACTCCGTATGCCCCACCAACAAACCCCACCCCTCTCTGCGTCTCTCTGCTGCGCCCAAAAAAAAAAATGCCGCGTGTCACCAACTTCCTTGGCTTCGTGCCTAATCCTACCTAACCCCTGACAGCGACAGATTAAGCTTTGAAAGTATCACCTGAAACCACCAATGTGAATTCACAGCATCAAAAGTTTGGTTGTGTGTGTATGCGTGCGCAGACGGGCATGTGTGTGTGTGTAAACATCGCCAGGAATGCTACCATTAGGTGTCAACAGCTGAGTTGTTGAACTCCGAGTGGCTTGCTGTAAATCATGCCCACGTGACATCCCCTAGCGTTGTACTCCTACGGTCAAGCCTCTCTGACCACATCCAATCCCCGACCATCTCGTCACACCTCCTCTGCAGGCAATGGTCGAGTTGCCAAGAGTTTGACATTTGGCCCAAGCTGTTCGGGTTCCAGTCCCCAGTTTCCACTGGCTTCAACCGCAACTTTGGATGAGGTGGTGGCGCTCGGCATAAGCACTGGCGGAGCCAGTGGTGGGGGGGGGGGGGTGACACGTGCTCCCCCCCCCTAATGATCCGATTGAAAGCCCTAATTTCGATAGGATCATTGGGGTTTATTAGTAATAAATCGGCATTTTGCGACCCCCACTGCCACTGTGTGGCATATTATTACGTGCCAGGGACTTTATGAGATGAGAGGACAATAGTCCGAGTCCACAATTGGCAATAAGTAACGGCAAAGCAGTTATAAGTGACTCACGGAATTGTGCGCAGTTGCGTCTACAGGACACGACTTCCCTGAAGGCATCGACACCTTCAGCGAGCGCGATGCCGATCACACAACGCGGTTCGAATTCGACCCTCGATCGATGGCTCCGCCGTCGCCGCACACGCGTCAAATAAAAAGCAAGGGACAAGTCCTTACTTACTAACAACTCCTCTATCATTTTTATTGCTGGAGAGATTGCCCCCCTATCTGAAAATCCTGGCTCCGCCATTGGGCATAAGCAACCCTAAGCAAATGCGTGGGGGGTGTACCCCAAGTGGCCCAAGGTGGAGCCCCAGATTAATGCGAGAAAATATACA